CGATGTTTTTCCCTGTCCTCAAGTGGGCTTTCTCCTCCAAGTAAGTCCATAACGTGCACTCACTAATGACAAATGACTCATTAAACCACAAGGTGAATAACAGCAGTGAGCACATTTGTAACGGCATTTCAATGAGAAAATTTGATTAACTCACAATGCTGGCTTTTAAATCCAATACTCTCTTTCACGCGTAAGCTCTCTCCCATCAAGTCACCCATTCCCATGCCTCCTCGCCTCCCTAAAACTCCCCTCCCCCCAACTCCCAAAGTGTCTCCCTGTCCTCCCACACTGCCCCTTTAATTGGTCAGGAATCCAGGCAAAAACCAACATTGTTTTTTTCCCCTTTGTTGTTTCAAACCGTGGCCGCTTCCCCCCCACCACCACCACCACTGCTTCGAGACGCTGGTGCAGAGCCAACGGAAAAGACACCGCAGAAGCCTAATAAACCACCCTTGCGCATTGCATTAAACAAACATGCTTAAACAAGCTATTTACTTTACGCAAAGCCAATGTCCAAATAGAAAAATATACACAGCCGGCACGCTTGGGAATAGGGGCCAGATTTTTTTTTGTAAGTGCCGCGATTTTATGACCGTCATAACGTCGAAAATGAGAAAGGTCTCCACACCGTCGTGTGTTCTTCTCACACGTGCCCCTTCGCTTGTGAGTATTCTTGAAGTTCTAAGTTAGACACTCTGGACACTAAGCCTTGCATTCAGCGATTGTGCATCATACAGATATAACTGAGAGAAGAAGCTCAACACCATCATAGCTGACAATAAAAAGTGCGTCTAGTTGTAATAATAAACTATACAAGTTATTTAAATAAAGTATATAACAGAGCTATTTGTTTAATATAGAATTGAAGCTTTCGTGACTGCAGCAACTACTATACTCATTGGTTTTTTCGGTAAAGTCACGTATGTAAAAAAAAATATTTGTAATTTATTTTAATAAAAATATATATTTTTCTACATACTTGACTTTACCGAAAAAAACTATGAGTATAGTTATTTGTTTGTTGTAATAAAATAAAGTATTGCTGTATTATTGTTATTTTTGCATATGTAAATACTGAAACAATATCGGAAACATGCAATTGTTGCTTTCATAGTTCTCACATTGAATCAAATACGCTGCTCCTTCAGAACATGAGCCAAGGAATGGAGCGCGTCCGGGAGGACATCCAGAGGGGAGATGGAGCAACGAATTCAGTTCGGATGCTGTGTGAATGATTGCATCGCAGGAACGTGAGAGGTGGCGACAGTTTGTGGAGGCGTTCATCCAGCAGTGGATTAACCATGGCTGATTATGACGACGACGATAAGAATGCAACGCATTTGATGTACTCATGAATGGGACTGAGAAAAATAAGCTCCAATTGAACCGAAATGTATTAACACAAATGAAAGACCGCTGCAGAAATGCCACACACACACACATCTCACCGGTATAGACTGTACATTCAAGTGTTTAGAAAGTGGGCTTTTTTGTGGCCCTTGAATGTAGCTACTGATATAAAGTGTGTGGGTCAGTGTTTGTTAATGAAAGCAGCACGGGTCAAATACACTGAAAGAGCCCCCTCTCGGCTGAGCGATGGGTAAGTCCCAACAGTGGCACACGCATTGGAGAGAGAGAGAGAGGGGGGGGGGGGACGACTCACACACCCTCTCACACCGATTGCCTGCGTGCCAGTCCATTCATTCATTCCCCGAGGTGGCGGCGCTTGTGAGTGACGGTCAATCCGACCCGTTCATTAATGATATCCATGGCGTGCGAAGTCTATGGTCTTTAAAAAAAGAAAAAGCCATCTTCCGTTCCTTTTAAACGAGAAAAATAAAATGTAAAGCTACTAGGTGGGCAATGTTGGACAATACATCGAGAAGACTTCTATCACCACTTTAAGTCATTGGAACAGACTTATAACGGAGGCATTTACAACTGGAACATGTTTCATTGAAAGTGGCCTATTCTGAAGAGAGGCCATTGTCACTTCCCGAAAATATGACCCTGTTATATGGAACCGATTAAGCTTTTATGCGTTGTGCTATGGGGCAGCACTGATAAGGGAGATGATGCGTCAACCCGGTCGTGCTCGTGGTTATGTACACGACTGACAATTATGCGTGTGTTGTGTAGTCAGAGCCCTTGACACAGGCGAGCGGAGTTTGCACCCTGTGCCCTACGGTGCAAATGAGAAATCCACCACGACAGATCGCGTGGTTGATTTCTCTGATAACTTTAGAGCTGGCTGTGCCTTCCCCATGCCTCACTCGCACAAGACAGCACCCATATGTGCCAGTGTTAATCCATATATTAACCCTGAAACTCACTTATATTTACCAAATTAAGTATGTGTATTGTACTTTTGCCAGATCTCCTTAAACAAAGTGGTTGGATATTTGAATTGGTTCTCACCCAGTTATTTTGAAGCGCATTTTGCATTTAAATCTCAATATAATATTTTATTTTATGTACTGGACTCTTCAATGTTATTGCTTCATTTAAATGTATTGTATGTTTCAAAGTGAATACAGGATTACATATTCGGCCATAATCAATGTCAAGTGTCTGGATTGCATCAGATGCTAGTTAATATCTGTAGCTGATGTATACATTCCTGAGTGTAGGCATATGTATCATTTAAGGAATTTACATTCGCAAACCCTCAGAATTATTCGTCCATGCTGAACACATGGCAAGTGCGAGTCGCCAGTACCACACCTGACTGCCATCCGTACATACACAACCAGGTTCAGTCTACATGGTGCTGTTTAAACTTTTGTCAACCCTGGATGAAATTCATGGGACGCCTACCAGTTTGCAGCACGTCATCCATTCAGAGTTTATGAATTGCATTTTCTGAGAAGTTAAAAGTTCATATTACGTGCATAAACTGGCACCACCAACAGAGATGTCACAACTGAATGCTTATTTGAGAATGGAGACACTTCGCCTGTTTGATTTTACCACTACAGAAGCTTATGTTTGGCGTCTATTCAATTTTCTATTACAGGTTGCATGTTATATATTAGGCGAGTGAACAATAATGCACAAATGTGTCTGATATATGAAACACCCTAAAAAGAATAAGTCCGTAAATTTAGCTTTAACGCAATATTCTGTTGATATTTATTGAATGAAAATACTTTACACTACATTCTATTAATCATCCTTTAAAAGATTACCACCAACCCATTTACCAAAGATGTGTTGTCGCAAGAGTATATATGTGTACAATACAGTATATTGAACTATTGTAACACACAAAAGTTATGGAAATTACACTAAACTGCTTTCGCATGACCAGAATACACCATGCACACAATTAGATCGAGATTGGAAACTAATTTCTTTAGAAATTATTTTGTGTAAAGTTTGCTGTCCTTCACTGCACCTCCGATTAGCAGGGTTGGCTACGAATGGTGCGAATTAAGTTCAAATACATACATAGCGCATATTGTGAATGCCTCATGCCAGCAGTTTTCATGATTGAGAAATATGTCAAGATCTGTCAAATTAAACGACATTGAAGCAAAATGTGTGTACTTTATACCAACTCAATATTGCACTTTTTTTTAAAGTATCAAAATACTACAAGGAGTAAAGTTTAAGTAACGAGACTCATAAAGTGATTTTTAGATGCTATGCTTGAGGCAAGTTGTGTACTTATGTTTTTTGAGAAAATATTAACTGAAATCACATGTATCAATATCCGAGCGAATGCTTAAGAGTTTTTTTTTATATGGAATCACTCACTTTTCACCAATCCCTCTTGTTCATTTTAACATTAATCTCCCAAACTCCTATTTAGGCAGATTATGTTGTTTCATTTTACATATATATTAAAATATACAATTTACATAATTTTTTCGTCAAACAGTGTTGTAAAGTAATACATGCATTTTTTATTTAGTCATAATGTAAAAAAAGTTTAGTATTTGTATATTATTCTAATAAATAACAAATAATGGTGAGCATAACAGTTTTGTGATAATTCGGAAAAAAATTATTCATAGCATACTATTACACAAACATAATTTTTACTATAATTTATAATTGTAATCTGAATACATTTTCTAATTTAAAGGGGGTATTTAAATGTATGTGAAAACTTTTTTATACCAAAATATTAATAATAAGTACATGTATTGAAGCAGTTTACTTTATATGTGTGTTATACATACAGTTTTTAAAAGGAAGACTTCCACTGCAATACATAATTAATAACTGGCATCTTGTAAATTACAACCTTCATAAATATAATGAATTATGCAGCACAGTCAAAAGAAAATGCGTTGATTGCAATGGTGAATAACTAAACTAAAGCTTTTTTTGTTTACCAGGTAAGGTCCACTGAGCTATGTAGCTCTTCTTCAGAAGCAACTTGGCCACAAATGATAGCTCAACGAAGTGGCTTATCACGTGGGCATTTATAGCAGCCAATTAATCTAAATGCATGCATCTAAATGTAGGTGGAAAACCAGGACGACCCGGAGAAAAAACCCACGCGACAATGGAGAGGCAATGCAGACTTCATAATGTACATGCGTCAGGGTCGGGATCGAACACACGATCTCCTGTATACCAGGCGAGGTAGTTAACATCTCGCCGAACAACATTAAATAACTGTGCTTACTTGAGCATGTTATTCCTTTCACCAGAGAAGACTGTAACACCAATGTGAATTCAATTGTTCAATTATTCGTTAAAATTCTTCACAGAATATGTTCCTGTATAATTACCGAATTTTACGAGTTTGCCTGGATAAATCTTTATTTGAAATAATTTTGAGAAACCCTTTAAATTACACTTTCTCATCGAAACGACTGGTTTACCATAAACAACTTTGCGCGAATAAAAAAAATCCACAGCAGATTGTTAAATCTGCTAAAGTTGGACTGAAAACCTTCAAGCGTGCACATGCGCGCGCGCGCGTGTTTGTGTATACGTGCCGGGCACGCGGCTTAAATCTGCGATCGTCAACGGAGCTGTCTTACCAGTTTGATCCGAAGGGTTTGCGAGTCACACCTGCATGAGCCCCAAGCGTGGCAGTCCGCCTGTCTTACTGCGTATCGGCGCGGCGCAGCGGCCCCGTGCGGAAACGCATCGGGGCTTTGAGACGGAGCGACGCTCGGCACCTGGCGTGGTGATCTGCGTGCCGGCTCGAGGCGCATTGCTTCTCTCCCAGAGGGCGATGCCGATTTTTTGACGTCCCCCCTCCTTGCGGCATGGAACTGCCCCTTCCACTCCCACCCCGTCCGCCCCCTCGTAAGAACGGGGGGGGGGGAGAACCCCCCCCCCCCACGCACACAACCCACCCCAATACCCCCCCTCCTCCTGCGCTGTCTGTGACCAATCAGCTCTCCGTGGAATTCAAGCATCACAGGCACACTAAAAACATCTCTCTGACCCTGTCGCCCCCCTACCCCAGGCAGAGGCTGCTCTCCACACCCACTGCCCCCCCCCCGTGAATCTCCACCGCCTGGAGGTAAGGGAGAGGTGGACTTGCCGGGGAGGAGGAAGCCAGTCCGACCGAAGTATTGTTCCACGCACAATATACAGGGGATTCAGCTAACACAAACAAAATGTTACGGTGCGAGGTCTGTTTTGTTCGTCACAGAAGAGGCAACCCAATAGAAATGAGGCCGGCGTGTCCTGTGCTAAGGCACGTTCAAAAGTTTGTTAGTGATAAAAAAAAACTCTACACATTGATGATGATCATCAGCAGCCATGGTCAGTCCACTGCTGATTGAAGGCTTCCTTAAGCCACTGTCACCTCTCACGATGTAATAATGAACCTAGCCACCTGCACATTTCTCCATCTTGCCGATGGACGTCTTCTCAGATGCATTCCATGCCGTGATGATGAGATGCGATAAACAAAATTGATTAACAAAACGAGAGAGACCTTCAGCATGCTGTAATAATGACATCACTGCAGTTGAACCCTTGTAATGTTTAGAATGACATCATCGCTGTGATGTCATTGGGATATTTTTTTTACTCATTACCAGAGCGGCATGTTCATATCAGACAGCCTGGGACACATACGAGGTACGCTATCAGCAAGATAAAAGCTATTAGTTTTGGAGGTCATGTATTGCTTTCATATCAGAATTATTAGTTAATTATATGTACACACAGGCACAATTTATGTAGTCTTGCAAACAGATTTGCTCACAAACTGTTATCGTAATAAAAAAGAGACAAAATGGAGATAACAATTACTCAACACTTGTTTATAGGGGGTGATCATTTTACTTGCAGTTGTTCAACAAAAACTCTATACATTGGTCAAGAATGTGTACCTCCGATTAGTACGGTTGGCTAAGTTCGGTGCGAAAGAAGTTCAACACACATGCGATAACACTGTCCTCAATCAAATATAATAATTAAAATTAAGATTAAAATATAATAAGTAACATTAGGTGCAATGTCCCTTCTTTATAGGCAAAAAAATCAATGAAGGGCCATTACCATCAATGTTATCGATTAAATATAATTATATTTTAAGGCAGTGTTATTGACAAATGTGTTGATTAGTTTATAATAATACCAGTCGATTTATCACCATATTAAAACGAGCGCTGGGCAATGCTGCTCTATCAGCAACGGTCAGGCAGTGAGGCTGGCGATCCGTGTTTCCACAGCAGAACTGTGGTCAACTTTCCATGAACGAGAGTCCCTGTGTGGACTCCAGAGGAATGAAGGGCTGAGTCAGCCCCTGACTGTCATTATAACTCACAAACTTAGAGTCCAGGTGCTTTGCCACAGGCACACCTTATTCCACCACGCAATTGCTCACCTGAATAAAGGCACTTTAAAGTCACGCAGGTAAAAAATAAAATTAAAAGTATATAATGGAAATAAATAAAATAAAAAAATATTTTATTTATTAAAATAAAAAAAATATTTTATTTTATTCCATTATTAACTTTTAATATAATTTTTTTACCTACGTGACTTTACCGAAAAAACCTAAGAGTATGAATCCTGGCAGTCACGAAAGCTTCAAATCTAGAATTTAACGTTTTAGCTTTTTCTCTCCATATTATCAGTTTATTAAAATATAATCATCATTTTCAGCCATTGTCAATCCATTGCTCGATTAAAGCCGCCCCATGCCGTATTTGTCATGGGAGATGTTTGACCATACTTCACTATTCTGGTATGTGAGGCTTCATTAATTGGAAAGAGCCCAAGACCATTTTATATATTATATATTGCTCGCCACTGACGTTAGCCATGGCTGGGAATTTAACTCAGGTGGCCAGATGGATAGCGAGGTGCGCTAACCACGGCACGATCACTCCATAAACAGTACATCGATGATGTGAGATTAAGCAGATTTTACCGTTTAGGTTAATCGCGTATTACGAAGGTACATTGACACTCCGCAAGGCATGTTGACATGCGGTTATTAATTCACGCCAGGTGTGCTCAAAATGAACTGAACATCGACATAACTGCGACGGATGGAGAGGAACTGATGGCGATAAGGCGGATTAAAGTAAGGCACAATGCACATGCTATCTCTAAATCAGCCGCTGACATACAGCATCTTGCACTGAGCCCGACTGTCTCCTCATAATGGCTGGGTGTGCTTCTGTCCTGTCACTCAGAGCGGCCGTTATCTGCGGCAAGGGGCCACAGAAGCAGCAAACTGACCCCATGGGTTCCAACGTCGCTCTTTGAAGCTCCTTTATGATGATGATGATCATTACGATCCAGCCAGGTGGCACTGTGGTCAATTGCAAGACTCGGAAACACAAGATTGCGAGTTCAAGCCCCGGCATATTGGTTGACTTGCTGCATCAGAATCTCTTTTTTCATTGTTTTTAGACCATGGTTAATCCACTGCTGGATGAAGACCTCCCCAACCTGCCGTCTCTTCTCATGGTCGTGCTCACCACCCCGTTGCTCCTTCACAATCCCAACCGGCTAGACATGGCAGTGGAACCAAAGTAGCTGGGGACTGGCAGCCATGACAGTTATGGTGGGTGGGGGAGGGGCTGACCATACTTCACCACGCTCGCATGTGCCGGTTGGTGATAAGAACACTTTTTGTCTCACTGAGCACCTGGCTGATATGGGTGCTCCTACTCAGCAGAGCTACTGAGGTCTACAATCAACTCAAGCCTCTTTGCCGCAGCAAGATAGTGCACTGTTGAAGAAGCATCAGCATCAGCATTATCATTCCTCCAGGGTTGATAAAACGAGTTCCACTGTGGGAAGTGAACGGTGGCTATTCTCACATGAGATGATCCCCTGCCAGGAGAATGTGTATTATCTACTAATGGCTGAGGGCCATGCTTATTTCAACCAGAGAGACATTTTAACGTGACTTTGACTTTTAAAACATGGTCAATGCATTCCAAATATTTCCACAGTTTTGGAAATAATGTTGAAAATCTTGTTAAAATTACAATCTCAGTTTTATGAGCAATAAAAAGTGCTCAATACAAATCTGACAACCGACTACGACCGGAAAGTATGATAGTTTGTGACTATGGTGGGACTAACCTATACTGTATAATCTACACCTCATCGATAATATCCCATTTTCTGACATGTATGTATCTTGACTTTCTTAGCTCCTACGTAAGAAACTGTGCATTTTGGAACGACTCTGTACTGAGCCATGCCCATTTAACATTCCAGGTCTGCCGTTGAAATGTTCCTCTTCCTGTTAGATTATGCCATTTCTCACCTTTGCCCATACAACAAAGGCAAAACACACCAAAGTAAATACAGCTAATGGCTCATTTCTCTTACAGTTAACAAATACATACATTGACGGGGCTAAGGATCGCTTGCGACATAGCTAAGGACGAATTATAATTGACATAAAATAATCGTGCATTTGATTTTATCGAGGAAAGCTTAGGGAAACTTCAAAGATCCATTTATTGCATTTTGTAGTTTTAGTGATGAGTGAGCTTTAATGTGAATACTTTTAGACTCTGAAATTAGCAAGGTGAATGTTCTCCTAAACAACTAACCAACCATGCGGTCTGTAGTTCATCCAGCGCAATTGAAAAAAAAAAACAAAGGCCCCGGTATTGTAAGTAGAGAAGCGGATATATTACTTCTCCGTGTAGGATTATGGATATTAAATTAATTTCACAAATTGCTAAACAGCGTTTTGGAACCCATTGGGGGAAAGGGATAGAAATTGTTAGAAGTTAACGTCAGAATGTACCTTTCATGAATCTGACAGCCAACTTCCTACAAATTACCTTCGTGTTTTCACGTGTGGACTTGTTTGTCTTGTTTCGGTAAAAAAAAGAATATAACACCGACCGTTCTCAATAAACGTGACGCTCACATGGCCTTCATATGTTGGGATGCACTACTTTGAGCAAGGTTATAATTAGCATTACTCAAAGCAAGTATTTAGCTACATTCAACATACAATATAAAAGGTGTTGCCTTCATGTTTCGTCATCATGCTACTGCTGGGAAAAAAAATATCCACAGAGTTCGAGAGGGTATTTTGGTCTACTCTTCCACACTGGCAAGACAACTTGAAAGAGGTGGATGTAACCACACTTTACCTGCCACACGTGATCTCTTTATTGATTAACTCAGCTGTACCCGTTAATCCTGCTTTGTGGACTAAGGCAGGGTTATTTCCAACAACAACAACACCAACAATAACTCGCCCATTTTCATACTACGTTTTTCAGAAAAGTGTATTCATCCGAGGACATGATGATGGCCAATTGTCAGTCGTAAAAAACAACAACAACAACAACAACGGAGTGGCAGCCAAGGCACGGAAAATAAAGCCTAGGAGACGGGAGCAATGAAATCAGTTCACGTGCAGGCGCTGGGTGGATTATTACATCGTGGGATTGTGAGAGTTGCCTGCGGCTTGGGAACACACTTACATCCAGCAGCGGACTGAGCCTGGCTGATGATGACGATGATGATTCATGGCCACCAAAGGAGACGAGTTTGAGAGAGGGGGGTGGAAGAGACAATGACTTTCGACTTGACATGCGCACAACACGGAGAGCGCAAAGCGACACGCTGATAAGAGAACATAGCGCGGCTCTGTGCACACGACACACTGCCACTTCCACGCACCAGCAGGGCGAGTGTTTGAGCATTTCAGCGCGGGCTTCACAGTGGCAAAGGAATGCATCCCCTGCCAGGAAGTCCTCCAGCATATTGCATCTGATG